GCCAGAGAGAGAGGGAGACACAGAATCCGAAGCAGACTCCAGGCTCTGAGCTGTCAGCACAGAGCCCGATGCAGGGCCAGAACTCACGGACCGCGAGATCATGACCTGAGCTGAAGTCGGACGCTTAACCGACGGAGCCACCCAGGCGCCCCGAGGTAGATGCCTTTTATACCTACTCGCTTTACAGATGAGGAGCAAGGCTTGGTTTAAATAAACACTAAAAAATAATTAATAAAGGCAGCTGACATTTCTGAGCACCTGCTGGGCATCATCAGGTCCCAGGCTAATTGCACAAAATTATCTTGATGAGTCCCTCCCAACTTTCCTTTATAGCAGATGCTTTTACGATATCTGCTTCACAGTCGGGGAAGCCAACCTCAGAGAAGCTAAGCACCTTACCAAGCTCGCACAGCAAGAAAATGGAAGAGAACCCTAGAGCGAGGAGACCCCCAGAAGGAGTTGGGGGACCCACCCATGCACTTTGTACAAACACAGAAGTTGCCAGGATCATTTCCTCTCATATCTCATTGGCCAGGACACGGTCACATGGTCCCACCTGATTGTAAGGGAGGCTGGGAAATGTAGTCCTCAGTCTTGACAGCCATGTTCCCCGCTGATACTCAGGGCTTCTATTTCCAAAGGAAAAAGGGGAGAATGGATATTGGGGATCACCAGTTGTCTCAGGCGCCTCATGCAAAACATTGCAATATTGAAGAAAGTTGTCATTGTGATTATGCATGCGATTCAGAGCAATGCTGAAAGGCAGACTTTGGAATCTGACTGCCTGGGTAGGACTCTCATCTCCAGCGCCCACCTGCTTTGTGACCTTGGGCAAGGCACTTCCCCCTCTCCAGGGCCTCAGTTTTCCTCAACTGTAAAAGGGGGAGAATAACAGAGTTTATTCCTACCTACTGCTGTACATGAGCCATAGAGTGGCCAATCTGTCTCCTCTTTTTGCTGGGGATTGTCCCAATGTCAAACCCAAAAGGCCTGGGTCCTGGGAGTCCCCTTGGTCGTGTGCAAAGCAGAGGGCAGGTGGACCCTGCGGAGATACCAGGTCAGATACTCGAAACTCAGCCCTCGGCTTCACTGCTCTTCCCTGTCTCTCCGCCAGCTGGAGCCAGAAGTGAAGTCCATACCCCTGACCCCCGTTGAGATCCAGGACCTGGAGCTAGCCACTGGCTATCGGGTGTACGGCCGCTGCCGAATGGAGAACGAAGAGGGTCTGTGGGGCCACCGGAGCCCCGTTCTGTCCTTCCAGACGCCGCCCTCTGGTGAGGCTCTCCAGGCTTGCCCGACACCCTCGTCTCCCCTCCCGGAAGTCTGTACCACCGTGCCCCTCTCACTTGTACCCCCCTTTCCTCCTCCTTGGCAACTCCAAAAGACGTATGGATATCGGGGAATGTCTGCGGGACAGCGGGCACACAGGAAGCCCTGCTTCTGTGGAAGGTGAGCTGTGGGGCTCCGTCCCATTTCCCTGTGCATGCCAGAAAGCCCCAAATAACAACCACGTGGACAAGACAGAGGTGACGATGCTGATGCTGCCTTCTTGAGGTGACCCCAAGGCTTTGTTGTGGCGCGGGGGTGGGGGGGAGAGGGATGCTCAGAGAGGTCCTGGCTTAGGGCAAGCCTCCCCCAACGTCAGCTACTTCTAGGAGGTCTGAGCTGAGACATGAAGGTGGGTGCAGGCCGGGGGGAACAGCAGGTGCAAAGGTTTGAAAGCAAGAGTAGGCTCAGCTCCATAAAATACAGCACAGTGCGCCAGGGCTCCGGTGCTAGTATGGAAGTGGCGTTAGGAGAGGACAGAAACCCATCCCCACTGCTCCCAATCTGTTGAGCACCTACGATGTTCCAGGCGTCGCTAGGCCCTGGCTCACAGTAAATATGGCAGAGGAACAAAACAGCAGGGCCCATAACCCTCTTAGGCCACATGGTCTAATATTAATTTTTTTTAATTTTTTTTTTTTTTGAGAGAGACAGTACAATCCGAATAGGGGGAGAGAGAGAGAGAGAGAGAGAGAGAGAGAGAGAGAGAGAGAGAGAGACAGAGGATCCAAAGAGTGCTCCACGCTGACAGCAGCAAGCATGATGCGGGGCTTAAACTCACAAATGTAAGATCATGACCTGAGGCAAAATTAGATGCTTAATTGACTGAGCCACCCAGGTGTCCCTAATATTAATTTTTAATACATTATTTTATTTTATATTAAATTTTAAAATGTTTATTTCTGAGAGAGAGAGAGAGAGACAGCATGAGCAGGAGAGGGGAAGAAAGAGAGGGAGACACAGAATCTGAAGTAGGTTCCAGGCTCTGAGCTGTCAGCACAGAATGTGACATGGGGCTTAAAGTCACAAACCATGAGATCATGACCTGAGCTGAAGTCAGAAGCTTAACCAACTGAGCCACCCAGGCACCCCTATAGTCATGTTTTTAAAAAATATGATAAAGACTTCTGATTGTAACATTCAGTAGAAAGTGAAGGGGAGGGGCCCCTGCGTGGCTCAGTTGGTTAAACGTCTGGCTTCAGCTCAGGTCATGATCTCGTGGTTCATGAGTTTGAGCCCTCATTGGGCTCTCTGCTGTCAGTGCAGAGCTTGCTTTGGATCCTCTGTCTCCCTCTCTCTCTCAAAAATAAATAAACACAAGAGAAAAGAAAGAAAAAGAAAGAAAGAAAGAAAGAAAGAAAGAAAGAAAGAAAGAAAGAGAAAGAAAAAGGGAGAGAGGGAGGGAGGGAGGGAGGGAAAGAAAGAGAAAGAAAGAAAGAAAGGGAAAGAAAGAAAAGAAAAAGAAAGAAAGAAAGAAAGAAAAAAAGAAAGAAAGAAAAGAAAGAAAGGGAGAGAGAGGGAGGGAGGGAAAGAAAAAGAAAGAAAGGGAAGGGAAGGGAGGGGGAGGAAGGGAGGGAAGAAGAAAATGAAGGGGAAATAAGGTAGCTACATGACGGCAACAATTCAGTTCACCAATATGATACGAGTACTAAAACTATATGTACCTAATAATATGGCTTTAAAATACATATAGCAAAAATTGACAGAACTACAAGGAGAAATATATGAATCCACAACCATTGTGGGAGAGTTTAACACACTCCTATCAGTAATTTCATAATAGATGAAAAACAAGTCAAGATCTAGAATATCTGAGCATGTGATTAGCAAACAACCTAATAGACTCACATAGGAAATGTCAGAACATGCCTTTCTTCCATGTACAATTAAGACATTTACCAAAATCAGCTGCATACCAGGCCACAGAGCCAGTTTCCAGGGGCTTCAAAGGGGTGAGGTGATGCAGGGCACATTAAAGAATTCTCTAATTAGAACACAGACTGTACTGGGAATTGATAATAAAAACTGCCTAGAAATCCCCATATTCTGAATATTTAAAAGTTCAGTGAGCATTCACACCAGGCCCCCCAAAGGTTTTGTCTTTATACATCAAAAGGAGTTTGCTTCTAGGGGCACCTGGGTGGCTCAGTCGGCTAAGCGTCCGACTTCAGCTCAGGTCACGATCTCGCGGTCCATGGGTTCGAGCCCCACGTCAGGCTCTGGGCTGATGGCTCGGAGCCTGGAGCCTGCTTCCGATTCTGTGTCTCCCTCTCTCTCTGCCCCTCCCCCATTCAAGCTCTGTCTCTCTCTGTCTCAAAAATAAATAAACGTTAAAAAACATTTAAAACAAACAAACAAACAAAAGGAGTTTGCTTCTAGGGGCACCTGGGTGGCTCAGTTGGCTAAGCGTCCGACTTCAGCCCAGGTCATGATCTCACGGTTTGTGGGTTCAGCCTCAAGTCAGGCTCTGGGCTGACAGCTTGGAGCCTAGAGCTTGCTTCGGATTCTGTGTGTGTGTGTCTCTCTCTCTGCCCCTCCCCTGCTCTCTCTCTCTCTCTTTCTCTCTCAAAAGTAAATAAGCATCTTTTTAAAGAAGGAGTTTCGTTGTAGGATCAGTTAACATTATTAGGTAGGCTTTTCATCTACGAAAGTGTCCAGTGGGGATGGCATTCTAAAGCCACAATGGTCAAGGGGCAGTTTTTTGTTTCCAGGACAGTGTTACATCCCTGGCTCTTGCCCATCAAATACCAATCACATTTCGGCTCAGGTCATGATCTCACAGTTTGTGGGGTCGAGCCCGATGTGGGGCTCTTCGCTGACAGAGTGGAACCCGCTTGGGATTCTCTCTCTCTCTCTCTCTCTCTCTCTCTCTCTCTCTCTCTCTCTGCCCCTCCCCCACTCACATGCACATGCACCCTCTCAAAACAAAGAAACAAACATAAAAAACAATACCAGTCATTGAGGCAACCAAAAATGCTCACAGACTTCCCCAGAGCGACGATCCTGGAGGCTGCGGTCCTCTTTGCTCCACATTCCCTCCCCTCTGTACAACAGCGGGGATTTTTTTTTTTTCAACGTTTATTTATTTTTGGGACAGAGA